ATATGAGTGGAAGGGGCTGGGTTTGATTGGTGTCAAGGGGTACGGGAGTTATTTCTTGAGTAGCTTTAGGTAGATGTCGTTTTGATAAGGACCTGCCTCGTATGGGCCAGTAGGCCTTCTGCAGTGTTCCTACATTCTTATGTTCTTATGTTCTTATGTAGTTGATGAGTGGAACAGTCTACCTAGTTGGGTTATTGAGGCTAGGACTTTGGGTAGTTTCAAATTTAGGTTGGATAAGTACATGAGTGGGAGGGGTTGGATTTGAGTAGGACTTTCACATCAGAGCTTATTTCTTGGGTGGCATTGAAAATTTTGTTGGGCAAATGTTTTGTTAGTGGGATGAATTGTAAAGGACCTGCCTAGTATGGGCCAACAGGCCTGCTGCAGTGTTCCTCCTTTCTTATGTTCTTATGTTCTTATGTTCTCTTTTTCCCCCGTCCCTGCACTCCTCTGGTGTATACACTAGCTCCTTACCTTCTCTCAGATGTTAGGTGTTCAACACATCTTCAGAGATGTGTTGAACACCTAACATATATGAGATATATATCTCAGATCCCATATGATACGCCGGCCTAGCGCTATGGAGGTTCACGGGCCAAGAGTTATGCGAAACAGGATACATGTCTGTGATCCCACTGGTTCATAGTTCTACCATTATGGGATGTAAGAGACACATCTTTGAGATCTCAAGATACTCGAAATTATTTAGCTAAGTTGCACATTGGATTTTTTTTTTTTTTTATTTGAATATTGGGAAACTCTAAACACGTAAAGCGTCACATAGAGCTTTAGGGATGACAGGTGATCCGGGTAATCAGGTTTGATCTGAGGAAGGGGAGAAAAGCTCCAATTCTTTTAATGGTATACCCTTCCCCCCCCCTCAGGGGGTGCTTTATCCATTGTAATCGATGGATTAAACTTTGATATAAATGAACTATTAATCTCTCCAAGAGAGAATCCGCAATAATGGATTCAAATTGGACAAGTTTAGATTTAGAGAGGATGTAGGAAGGTATTGTAGATGAATGGTTCAGAGAACCGACATGTTGATAAATTAGACACATGTGCAACTCTTGGGTATCTTTATTTCCTCAATAAAGATACCCAAGAGTTGCACATGTGTCTAATTTATCAGGAAGGTATTGGTTTGGAAATAGGGTAGTTGATGACTGGAACAGTCTACCTAGTTGGGTTATTGAGGCTTAAACCTTGGGTGGTTTTAAATTTAGGTTTATAAATCATGACGGAAGGTTAAATTAGCAGAACTTGCTTTTTAATAGTAGTTTATCAGAGCTATTTTTGGTAATTGAAAATTGGGTTGGAAAAATGTTTTGTTACTGAGGATTGTAAAGGATCCTGTATGGCAACAGCCTGCTCAGTGTTCATTTTTAACGCTTATTTTTTTTAAAAGTGATTGTGGTCAAGTTCCTAAGCATATCGTATGAAAATTATCAGTGATTTTTCTTCTCTTCTTATTTTTAAAAATTCTTTCTACACCAAGTTTTACTATACTATTCCCATTACCGTGTTTTAAACATTACCGCTGTTTAAACATTACCGCTGTTTTAAAACATTACCGCTGTTTTAAAACATCCCGCTGTTTTAAACATTACCGCTGTTTTAAACATTACCGCTGTTTTAAACATTACCGCTGTTTTAAACATTACCGCTGTTTTAAACATTACCGCTGTTTTAAACATTACCGCTGTTTAAAACATTACGCTGTTTTAAAACATTACCGCTGTTTTAAACATTACCGCTGTTTTAAACATTACCGCTGTTTTAAACATTACCGCTGTTTTAAACATTACCGCTGTTTTAAACATTACCGCTGTTTTAAACATTACCGCTGTTTTAAACATTACCGCTTTTTAAACATTACGGCTGTTTTAACTTTTACCGCTGTTTTAAACATTACCGCTGTTTTAAACATTACGCTGTTTTAAACATTACCGCTGTTTTAAACATTACCGCTGTTTTAAACATTACCGCTGTTTAAACATTACCGCTTTTTTAAACATTACCGCTTTTTTAAAAACATTACCGCTGTTTAAAAAATTACGCTGTTTAAACATTACTGCTGTTTAAACATTACCGCTGTTTAAACATTACCGCTTTTTTAAACATTACCAAACTTGGGTTTTAAACATTACCGCGTTTAAAACATTCCCGCTGTTTTAAACATTACCGCTGTTTTTAAACATTACCGCTGTTTTAAACATTACCGCAGTTTAACATTACCGCGTTTTAAACATTACCGCTGTTTAAACATTACGCTGTTTAAACATTACCGCTTTTTTTAAACTTTAAACCGCTGTTTAAACATTACCGCTGTTTTAAACATTACCGCTGTTTTAAACATTACTGCTGTTTTAAACATTACCGCTGTTTTAAACATTACTGCTGTTTTAAACATTACCGCTGTTTTAAACATTCCCGCTGTTTTAAACATTACGCTGTTTAAAAAATTACCGCTGTTTTAAACATTACCGCTGTTTTAAACATTACCGCTGTTTTAAACATTACTGCTGTTTTAAACATTACCGCTGTTTTAAACATTACTGCTGTTTTAAACATTACCGCTGTTTTAAACATTACCGCTGTTTTAAACATTACTCCCGTTTTAAACATTACCGCTTGTTTTAAACATTACCGCTTTTTTTTAAACATTACCGCTGTTTTAAACATTACCGCTGTTTTTAAAACATTACCGCTGTTTTAAAAAAACCCTTAAAACCGCTGTTTTAAACATTACCGCTGTTTTAAACATTACCGCTGTTTTAAACATTACCGCTGTTTTAAACATTACCGCTGTTTTAAACATTACTGCTGTTTTAAACATTACCGCTGTTTTAAACATTACCGCTGTTTTAAACATTACCGCTGTTTTAAACACCGCTGTTTTAAACATTACCGCTGTTTTAAACATTACCGCTGTTTTAAACATTACCGCTGTTTTAAACATTACCGCTGTTTAAACATTACCGCTGTTTAAACATTACTGCTGTTTTAAACTTTAAACCGCGTTTTAAACTTTAACCACTGTTTTAAACATTACCGCGTTTTAAAAACTTACCGCTGTTTTAAACATTACCGCTGTTTTAAAACATTACCGCGTTTAAAACCATTACTGCTGTTTTAAACATTACTGCTGTTTTAAACATTACCGCTGTTTTAAACATTACCGCTGTTTTAAACATTACCACTGTTTTAAACATTACCGCTGTTTTAAACATTCCCCGCTGTTTTAAACATTCCGCTTTTAAACATTACCGCTGTTTTAAACATTACCGCTGTTTAAAAACATTCCCGGGCCTGTTTTTAAACATTACCGCTGTTTTAAAAAATTACCGCGTTTTAAACATTACCGCTGTTTTAAAACATTACCGCGTTTTTAAACATTACTGCTGTTTTAACAAAAATTACCGTTTTTTTTTAAAACATTACCGCTGTTTTAAACACCGCTGTTTTAAACACCGCTGTTTTAAACATTACCGCTGTTTTAAACACCGCTGTTTTAAACATTACCGCTGTTTTAAACATTACCGCTGTTTTAAACATTACCGCTGTTTTAAACATTACCGCTGTTTTAAACATTACCGCTGTTTTAAACATTACCGCTGTTTTAAACATTACCGCTGTTTTAAACATTACCGCGTTTTAAACATACCGCTGTTTTAAACATTACCCCCTGTTTTAACATTACTGCTGTTTTTAAAAAAAATTACCGCTTTTTTTAAACATTACCGCTGTTTTAAACATTACCGCTGTTTTAAACATTACCGCTGTTTTAAACATTACCGCTGTTTTAAACATTACCGCTGTTTTAAACATTACCGCTGTTTTAAACATTACCGCTGTTTTAAACATTACTGCTGTTTTAAACATTACTGCTTTTTTAAAACATTACCGCTGTTTTAAAACATTACCGCTGTTTTAAACTTTAAACTGCGTTTTAAACATTACCGCTGTTTTAAACATTACCGCGTTTTAAACTTTTACCGCTGTTTAAACATTACTGCTGTTTTAAACATTACCGCTGTTTTAAACATTACCACTGTTTTAAACATTGCTGCTGTTTTAAACATTACCGCTGTTTTAAACATTACTGATGTTTTAAACATTACCGCTGTTTTTAACATTACCGCTGTTTTAAACATTACCGCTGTTTTAAACATTACTGCTGTTTTAAACATTACCACTGTTTTAAACTTTTGCTTTTTTAAAACATTACCGCTGTTTTAAATATTATACCGCTGTTTTAAACATTACCGCTGTTTAAAACATTACCGCTGTTTTTAAACTTACCGCTTTTTTAAAAACATTACCGCTGTTTTAAACATTACCGCTGTTTTAAACATTACCGCTGTTTTAAACATTATTGCTGTTTTAAACATTACCGCTGTTTTAAATATTACCGCTGTTTTAAAACATAACCGCTTTTTTAAAACCCTTATTGCTGTTTTAAAACATTACCGCTGTTTTAAATTTTAACCGCTGTTTTAAAACATTACCGCTGTTTAATTTTTAAACATTACCGCTGTTTTAAACATTACCGCTGTTTTAAACATTACCGCTGTTTTAAACATTACCGCTGTTTTAAACATTACCGCTGTTTTAAACATTACCGCTACGTCTACTGTTTGCTTGTAGAGTCATCATATGACACCGGAATGTGACTCTCCATCGGAGGACATCAACATATTTTTGACGTATTTAAGCTACTATGTACGTCGCTTTTAACATAATTATTAACAAAACATTTTAATATGAATACCTTAGCGCCTAATAAAGATGTTTTAATTAAATAAATGAAGTTAAATTGCTAATTGTGTGTTGCAGTAAATACTTGCCAACTCTGTCTTGGTCATGGGTTTATGTGGTAAAGTTTATGTAGAAAAGGTGTATATTGCAAGAAAATATTTGTGTTGCGTTTTAGGTATATGTAAAATATGTATATTTCCCACGTGTACTGAGTCTGTATTTATTTCTTCGTTCAGGTTGTATACGTGTAGTGGAGCACGAAACGTGAAGATGCCACTGAAGTTACTGATGCTTCTGGTGCCACTGGTGATAGGGATCTCACCGTCATTCACCGTCACCTCGACTGCTCTCTTCAATCGCACTGGACAGAACGAAAACTGTGGAACGATTTTCAAGATAGTCAATGTGCCTTCCCTCACCATTTGTGCTGCTATTTGCAATAAGCGTAATGCTCGATTTTTTGTTTTTTTACTGCTTTCACTAACTGCATTTTTTCCTAACTAAGAAAATCTTTTTATTAGATGAAATATTTGTCCCTAATAATTCATATTTCTAGATGATGCCTAGTAAATTTAATTTAGACGTGTGGCATTTTCCCTTACCATGTGAGGTATTGTGTCATTCTGCCACGGAGAAGTGTTGTAAAGGAATAACTGTTTAGAGGAACTCATGTAGATCTGTTTGTGACTTGAAAAAGCCCACTCTGTGGGCGAAACGTTGTCAATAATGGATCACTGTAATAAAGTTGGTAGAATTACCGACAATATGTAAAGTAAAAGGACACAAGTGCAACTAATGTGACATTTATTGTGGCAACGTTTCGCTCTCCAGGAGCTTTATCAAGCCATGGCTTGATAAAGCTCCTGGAGAGCGAAACGTTGCCACAATAAATGTCACATTAGTTGCACTTGTGTCCTTTTACTTTACACATTATACTGTATATGTGTTTATATTTCCATGTTAACTGTTAGCTGGACAAGCACTGTTAGGAGGATCTTACAGTAACATTCGTTGAATTTGGGACTCACTTTGTGGCAGGGATGACATGTATGCTAGAGATGGTGTGCACTTATCTAGAGCAGGAATAGCAGCTTTAATTAGCTTAGTATATATTGCAGAAACAACAACTATCATGGGAGTAAAACAAAACTGTAGGTTAATACCTTGCAAGACAATGGGAAAAAAATAATAACAAGGAAAATATTGCAGGGAGAGAATAAAGAACAAAATGTTGATTATATATGTTGCAAATAGTCACTTTCGAGAAATAACTAAATTAATAAATTAATGAATCACAAATATTTTGTGTGGGTAACTTTGATATTGTTGCAATGACTACGACATAGTTTAATTTGCAGTTTAATGCAATCGTTTATTGACTACGTTTCGCCCACACAGTGGGCTTTATCAAGTCACAAACAGATCTACCTAGACAAAGAGTATATGAAAATAATATAGCGAGGAGAGTGAGGTGGAGAATGTTAGGGAGGTTGGATATGAGACGCATCTGCATGAGATGGACAAGTAGGTATATTGTTATGTAGGATAACGATGAAGTTTCCTGGCAAGGTGTTCAGCTATGTTGTAAAAGCCATTGTTCTGGTTGAAGTTGTTAGATATGAAGATGAGTGGTGATTCCAAGATCCTGTAATACTGTCTCTTCCTCCCTGGTGATGAGTCCTGCGTCTCTGTAGTTCATTAAATGGTTGTGGAAGTTCCGGTGCAGAATACAGGCATTCCTCACATCATCCTTTCTCCCTGCGTATTGGTGTTCTGAAATACGTGTCTGGATGTTTCTGGATGTCTGGCACACGTATAATTGGTTGCAATCGTTGCAAGTAATTATGTACACCCCTGCAGAGGACTGAACCTCATGGTGTCTCTTACTGGTGGCGTTCTTGACGGTGGAAGATGAGGGGAAATTCTCTGAAACTGATATTAAAATGAAGTCTTTGGAGTCAGATAAATTACTGGGGAATGCATTTTCTGCTCGGCTTTAAACTTTCATTTTCAGTTTTCACAACTGCAGTTTACCAATTTATTTAAACAGTTTCCCATGTAAAATCTAAAGAATGCCTCTTCAGATCGAGTGTTACTAGGGTGATGACAACACTTACTGGGGTCATCACAATACACTCCATAGGGCTTACCTGGAGAGGGTTTCGGGGGTCAACGCCCCCGCGGCTCGGTCTGAACCTCATGGTGGATCAGGATCTGATCAACCAGGCTGTTACTGCTGGCCGCACGCAAGCTGACTTACGAACCACAGCCTGGTTGGGCAAGTACTGACTTTAGGTGCCTGTCCAGTGCCTTCTTGAAGTGAGGGTTGTCACTTCCACTCACTCAAACCTTCATGTTATTAGGATGGACATGTCACATTCTTATTTAATCTGCTTAAGTTAATAATTGCCTAATAAACACAGAAATTTACCAATTCTAAAATAATGCAAAGTTTTAATTTTTTTACATAAGGATAAGTAAGGATTTTTATTATTAATTATTTGCTTATTGGCATTGCTTCAAAGTGATTCCTTCACATATTTCAATTATCATGATTCAACTAACTGTGAATTTACATACTTACATGCATTCTTGGATCCTTAATTAATTTTAATTATTTTCAGTAGTTGTATTTATTGTTTCCAAATTTACCAGCAATATGAACTTTGAACATTAAAATGGTATAAAATACCGACAGGTTGTTAGGTAAGACACATATGCAACAGTTAGGTATCTTTATTATGAAACGTTTCGCCTACACAGTAGGCTTCTTCAGTCAAGTACAAAAAAGTTGATAGAAGCAGAAGATACTTGAAGACGATGTAATCAGTCCATCACCCTTAAAGTTTTGAGGTGGTCAGTCCCTCAGTCTGGAGAAGAGCATTGTTCCATAGTATGAAACAAAACTTTAAGGGTGATGGACTGATTACATCGTCTTCAAGTATCTTCTGCTTCTATCAACTTTTCTGTACTTGACTGAAGAAGCCTACTGTGTAGGCGAAACGTTTCATAATAAAGATACCTAACTGTTGCATATGTGTCTTACCTAACAATATGAACTTTCCATAAGTGTAATAAAACCTTCATTTATAAAGTCTATGAAAGGATTTAATTCCTAAGAATCATATGTATTTAATTATTTAGTAGGGATTATGGGAATAAATTTCACTGTTATTTATGACTGGATTATAATCAGACATTTGTCTGATATTCCTCGTACATTACTTAATAAATAATAATAATCTTTCAAAAGCTCGTAAAAAATAAATATAATATTCTCTAACATAATATGACTTCTATTAATTAAATTTTCTTCATGATTCCCTGGAGTATTAATATTAATATTTGTATAAAATCAATTTAACTACAATTCGTACTTTCGCACTTGATTTTTGTTCCGTAAACTAGTATTTGTAATTACCAAATGCATGTAATGTATGGAAATGGGGATAATAGCTCCCATTCCTTACAGGAATCCCCTTCCCTTAGAATGTAGTTTGTCGACAACAATCTGAGTGAGTGAACTTGTGTACCCAGGATGCTTTGTTTTATAAGTCATTGACTGCATGTTTCACGAGCTGAAGTGTTTCAGATACGAGGTGTATTGGGTTTGGGTTTGGAACTCCTGGTGGATCTAAAACAACGTGTGAGATGGCTAATGAAACTGTCAGTTGTGTTCCACAAGATCATTACAATTTTTATCAGATCATTGGATATACAAACACGACTCCACCACCAGATGCCGCAACATCAACTAATGTAGGTGAGTTCACTCACAGACCAATTACAGTGTTAATGCCCTGCTTTAAGACTATCCACATTTGACAAGGACTGTTTTATAATAAGACTGTGTAAAGTATAAATATACAGGTAAAAGACTCAGGGCAACTAGCGATAATGGTGGAACTAGCTTTCTGTTCTAGTTCAGAGGAGTAATAACCGTTGTATTCTAAGTACGCACACCTCCTCTCAAACACAGAATGAGATTTTTATAATGAAAATTTTGACAAGCAAATAGTAAAATGTACTTATAATGTATCCTTCGAACCTTATGATTTTATCTTATCTTTGAACCATCAAGGAACCTTTTCAGTCTTGTACATAATAGTACTTAATGAAAGGGGGTAAGGCAGCCGGGATTGATGGGATAAAGATAGAAATGTTAAAAGCAGGTGGGGATGTAGTTTTGGAGTGGTTGGTGCAAATATTTAATAAATGTATGAAAGAGGGTAAGGTACCTAGGGATTGGCAGAGAGCATGCATAGTTCCTTTGTATAAAGGCAAAGGGGACAAAAGAGAGTGCAAAAATTGTAGGGGGATAAGTCTGTTGAGTATACCTGGTAAAGTGTATGGTAGAGTTATTATTGAAAGAATTAAGAATAAGACGGAGAATAGGAGGCTTTAGGAAAGGTAGGGGGTGTGTGGACCAGGCGTTTACAGTGAAACATATAAGTGAACAGTAATTTAGATAAGGCTAAAAGAGGTCTTTGTGGCATTTATGGATTTGGAAAAGGCGTATGACAGGGTGGATAGGGGGGCAATGTGGCTGATGTTGCAGGTGTATGGTGTAGGAGGTAGGTTACTGAAAGCAGTGAAGAGTTTTTACGAGGATAGTGAGGCTCAAGTTAGAGTATGTAGGAAAGAGGGAAATTATTTCCCAGTAAAAGTAGGCCTTAGACAAGGATGTGTGATGTCACCGTGGTTGTTTAATATATTTATAGATGGGGTTGTAAGATAAGTAAATGCGAGGGTCTTGGCAAGAGGCGTGGAGTTAAAAGATAAAGAATCACACATAAAGTGGGAGTTGTCACAGTTGCTCTTTGCTGATGACACTGTGCTCTTGGGAGATTCTGAAAAGAAGTTGCAGAGATTGGTGGATGAATTTGGTAGGGTATGCAAAAGAAGAAAATTAAAAGTGAATACAGGAAAGAGTAAGGTTATGAGGATAAAAAGATTAGGTGATGAAAGATTGGATATCAGATTGGAGGGAGAGAGTACGGAGGAGGTGAATGTATTCAGATATTTCGGAGTGGACGTGTCGATGGGTCTATGAAAGATGAGGTGAATCATAGAATTGATGAGGGGAAAAGGGTGAGTGGTGCACTTAGGAGTCTGTGGAGACAAAGAACTTTGTCCTTGGAGGCAAAGAGGGGAATGTATGAGAGTATAGTTTTACCAACGCTCTTATATGGGTGTGAAGCATGGGTGATGAATGTTGCAGCGAGGAGAAGGCTGGAGGCAGTGGAGATGTCATGTCTGAGAGCAATGCGTGGTGTGAATATAATGCAGAGAATTCGTAGTTTGGAAGTTAGGAGGAGGAGCGGGATTACCAAAACTGTTGCCCAGAGGGCTGAGAAAGGGTTGTTGAGGTGGTTCGGACATGTAGAGAGAATGGAGCGAAACAGAGTGACTTCAAGAGTGTATCAGTCTGTAGTGGAAGGAAGGCGGGGTAGGGGTCGGCCTAGGAAAGGTTGGAGGGAGGGGGTAAAGGAGGTTTGTTGTGCGAGGGCTTGGACTTCCAGCAGGCATGCGTGAGCGTGTTTGATAGGAGTGAATGGAGACAAATGGTTTTTAATACTTGACGTGCTGTTGGAGTGTTAGCAAAGTAACATTTATGAAGGGATTCTGGGAAACCGGCAGGCCGAACTTGAGTCCTGGAGATGGGAAGTACAGTGCCTGCACTCTGAAGGAGGGGTGTTAATGTTGCAGTTTAAAAACTGTAGTGTAAAGCACCCTTCTGGCAAGACAGTGATGGAGTGAATGATGGTGAAAGTTTTTCTTTTTCGGGCCACCCTGCCTTGGTGGGAATCGGCCAGTGTGATAATAAAAAAAAATATGAAAAAATAAAAGACGGGGTGATAGGGCAAGTGAATATTCAAAAGGCTTCGGAAAAAAATACATATGCTTTTTCTTTGTCTACTTCTTCGAGTCTATGGGCCCACACAATTCGCACTGCATACCTAGAGCCAGAAATTAAATGATTATCCATGGATGCGGAGTGAGGCTCAACGGCAATACGAGAATGACATAGCATCAAAAGCCAAATCTGGCCCAAAGTTCTCGCACAGCCACATCAGAGGAAAGCAACAGTTAATTTAAGTACCAGGTAATTAGGCAGAGAAAGGAAGAACCCGGAAGTATGTGAGGAGCTCAGCTCAAAATTCAGGGAGGTATTTATAGTGGAGACAGAATCTTCTGGAAAACCGAGGGAGTAGTGTGCATCTGCAAGTTCTGGATACACTGCACACAACCAAGGAGACAGTGAAGAAACTACTAGGTGAACTAGATACCTCGAAGGCAGCAGGGCCAGATAACATATCTCCATGGGTTATAAGAGAAGGAGCAGATGCACAGTGTGTGCCACTAACAGCAATCTCCATTAAATCTACTGAAACTTGGCAGCTGCCTGAGGTGTGGAGGACAGCAAACATAGTCCAGTTTTTTTAAGAAAGGTGACAGACTAGCAACACTAAACACAGACCTGTGTCGTTGACATGTATAGTATATAAAGTTATGTGTAGAATATGAAGTCAGGAGAAGAATGGTGGAGCACCTACAAGGGAAGCTTATTAACGACAACCAGCATGGCATCAAGGAAGGTAAATTCTGCACCACAAACCTACTGGAGTTCTACGATAAGGTAACAAAAGTAAAACAGGAGAGAGAGGGGTAGGTAGAATGCATCTTCTTGGACTGTAAGATAGTTTTCGACACAGTACCACACAACAGACTGGTTGGAAAGCTAGACACATGCACCCACCCTGGGTGCAAATCCACCCTCCCCTGTTCCAGCTACTAGATATGCCATGGTGATTTTTGCCTGCCTTTCCTTAAACTTCCTTAGTACAAAGCCCGACGACCTATCTCCCCTTAAAACATCCTCCAACCCGCCCTAACTCTGCCTCAAACCTTTCGTTATGAATCTCTGCTAACCTATTCCGCAAGCTTTCCATATCCCCACTCCGTCCCACCCTTTCCTCTTCATAACAATCATTTAACTGACCTTCAAGATAATTTTGCAAATCATAGCGCCACCTCGCCATCCCCTTTCCCCGTACTTTAAAAAATTCCAGTATCCCAACCTTAGCTCTCATTTCCCACCAATCCAGCAAATTCATCGCCCCGTTCCTAGTCTCCCAAAAGGACATCCACCAATCCGCGAATCCTGTACCTTCACACTCCTCCCTAAGTAGCCTCACATTCAATTTCCAGTATCCCGCATAAACTCGCACTATACCATCTACCCTCAAATCAGCAATTACCGCACGATGATCAGATAAACCTACATCTAAAGTCGTCACTCTCTCCACACCTATTTCCTGCCTGACATAAATCTATCTAACCTTGCCTCATATCCCCTACGAATAAAGGTGTGCTCCACTCCATACCCCCTACTCCCCACCATATCTACAACCCCAACATCCCGCAATACGTCTCCCAGAACCCCCAAAACACAACCCTCCCCCCTCGGAACTACATCCACATTCCTAATCACACAATTCCAATCCCCCCAAGCACCGTAAAAGTTGGTAAACCCCGCAAATGATACACCAGGACATCTCATACAAAATCCCCTTTTACTCTTTCATTACTAGTCACCGGCAGGTACACCCCCACAAAACAAACCCTCCTTACCCCAAAAAACCCATCCACCGTGACAACCCTCCCCCCCCCCCCTCCTCCCAACCCAGGACACGCAAAGGACTGGTCTCCTTTACCTCCACAGCCACACCTCTCAATCTCAAATCATTACTGGTAAACAACCTATAACCTTTCAAAACCAATTCACATCCTAACCTATGGTCATGTTCCTGCAAAAAACAGACATCAACACTAAATCTCCTTAAAAACCACCTTGACCTCTTGACCTCGGTCTGAAGACCGTTTACATTGAAAGTTGATGTGTTGCTTATGTTCACCTAGCAGTATGAAGGTACCTGAGTGTTAGTCTTATACGTGTTGCTTATGTTACCTAGCAGTATGAAGGACCTAGTGTAGTCCTATATGTGTACTTAGTTCACCTAGCAGTATGAAGGTACCTGATGTTAGTCTTATAGTGTTACTTATGTTCACCTAGCAGTATGAAGGTACCTGAGTGTTAGTCTTATATGTGTTACTTATGTTCACCTAGCAGTATGAAGGTACCTGAGTGTTAGTCTTATATGTGTTGCTTATGTTCACCTAGCAGTATGAAGGTACCTGTGTTAGTCTATTGTTGCTTATTCACCTAGCAGTATGAAGGTACCTGAGTGTTAGTCTTATATGTGTTGCTTATGTTCACCTAGCAGTATGAAGGTACCTGAGTGTTAGTCTTATATGTGTTGCTTATGTTCACCTAGCAGTATGAAGGTACCTGAGTGTTAGTCTTATATGTGTTGCTTATGTTCACCTAGCAGTATGAAGGTACCTGAGTGTTAGTCTTATATGTGTTACTTATGTTCACCTAGCATTATGAAGGTACCTGAATGTTAGTCCTTATATGTGTTGCTTATGTTCACCTAGCAGTATGAAGGTACCTGAGTGTTAGTCTTATATGTGTTACTTATGTTCACCTAGCAGTATGAAGGTACCTGAGTGTTAGTCCTATATGTGTTGCTTATGTTCACCTAGCATTATGAAGGTACCTGAGTGTTAGTCTTATATGTGTTACTTATGTTCACCTAGCAGTATGAAGGTACTGAGTGTTAGTCTTATATGTGTTCTTATGTTCACCTAGCAGTATGAAGACCTGAGTGTAGTCCTATATGTGTTGCTTAGTTCACCTAGCATTATGAAGGTACCTGAGTGTTAGTCTTATATGTGTTACTTATGTTCACCTAGCAGTATGAAGGTACCTGAGTGTTAGTCTTATATGTGTTACTTATGTTCACCTAGCAGTATGAAGGTACCTGAGTGTTAGTCTTATATGTGTTACTTATGTTCACCTAGCAGTATGAAGGTACCTGAGTGTTAGCCTTATATGTGTTCCTTATGTTCACCTAGCAGTATGAAGGTACTTGAGTGTTAGTCTTATATGTGTTGCTTATGTTCACCTAGCAGTATGAAGGTACCTGAGTGTTAGTCTTATATGTATTGCTTATGTTCACCTAGCAGTATGAAGGTATCTGAGTGTTAGTCTTATATGTGTTGCTTATGTTCACCTAGCAGTATGAAGGTACCTGAGTGTTAGTCTTATATGTGTTACTTATGTTCACCTAGCAGTATGAAGGTACCTGAGTGTTAGTCCTATATGTGTTGCTTATGTTCACCTAGCAGTATGAAGGTACCTGAGTGTTAGTCTTATATGTGTTGCTTATGTTCACCTAGCAGTATGAAGGTACCTGAGTGTTAGTCTTATATGTGTTACTTATGTTCACCTAGCAGTATGAAGGTACCTGAGTGTTAGTCTTAT